TGTGTTGAAATGGAAATACCACAAGAAGCAAGTGACCTCTCATCACAGAGACAGAGGTCATCGCATAGAGAGAGGAGCTACTCTGAAAACTCCCTGAGCCTTAACAGAATTTATGTGATCATTACATAAATCTGTTTTTGTCTTTAACCTTCACTGTATGTCTTAAACCACATTTCACGGCTATTTTCATAGAAGCCTAACCTATTCTATCCTTACTAACATAGTTAGTTTTATAAATTTTCACTTATATGCAATAAATATACTACTTCTTTTAAATGCCAGGTGTATTAGTCCATTTTCACACTGCTAATAAAGACATATCTGAGACTGGGCAATTTACAAAAGAAAGAAGATTATTGGACTTACAGTTCCACATGGCTGAGACGGCCTCACAATCATTGTGGAAGGCAAGGAGGAGCAAGTCACATCTTACGTGGATGGCAGCAGGCAATAAAAGAGCTTGCGCAGGGCAACTCTGTTTTTAAAACCACCAGATCTCATAAGACCCATTCACTATCATGAGAACAGCATGGGAAAGACCCGCCCCCATAATTCAATCATCTCCCACCGGGTTCCTCCCACAGCACACGGGAATTCGGGAGCTACAAGATGAGATTTTGGTGGGGACACAGAGCCAAGCCATGTCACCAGGTAATATCATATATATAGCATCAAATAGCTCTTAAACATAACTTAATTCTCAGGCAAATTTCAATATTCCAGTCATTAACATATGCTGAAGATAGAGATGACATTATTCAAGCAAAAGCAGGATTTGAAGAATGTATTTTAAAGACCAGTTGGCAGTACACTCAATAAATCCTCAGAATGTAGAACATAATTATATGTGTGTCAGAAGAGGGGATCACTCAGGTCTGAAAATGAAACTGAGAAACTATAACTTTCACGGGGTGTAGAATGGTTTTCCCAAAAGTTATAAGAATGTGAAATAAGAGGTTTAAAATTATTTTTTTTCCTCAACAGAGTGAAAAACAGAGTTGATCCTATACTTCATTTCACAGTTGCCTAGCTATAGTGAGTGATATATGTTTCTAACACAATGGATGGTAGCTTAGGAAGAGGATCCAATAAAATCTATATTGGAGCCAAGCATAAAATTCAAAGAAAATGCCTCTAGTTAATCACACTAATCAGTTCCCCCGTACGCCAGAGAAGGGCTCACATTTAAACCCAGTATTATTATAGGTATTTAGATTAGTCAAGAGCAGTGCTATAGGGATGAGAATCCCAAAGTTTTAATTTAAAGCCATGGGTTTCCTAATTTTTAAATATTTTCCACTTTTTTTCCTTCTCAGTTAAAGTCATAATAATAATTTGTAAAACTTTCAAGTCAAGCTTCAAAATTTTCAACAACCACCTTTTTATGAGACAAAAAGTTGTGTGAAACCAAAACACAAATAAGAAATGTGAGTTCAACTGTGATCACTTCAGTGTACACAATATTGACAAGTTCCAAAATGATGATACCTGCAGTAAGTATGTGTATAACTTTATATTTTCCCAGTAGAGACGTTTAATTGCCAAGGAAGCAGTTAAAACCAGAACTCACATATTCCATATTTTTAAAATCTGAAGTTAATTCTATATGAGCATATCTCATGGGTAGAGACCAATTAGATGTAAGTAAGGGAAAAGAATTCCTTGCCAAATGATTTTGACCTTGAAATTTTGCTAATTTCCTTAAAACGGTCCTGTGGCAGTGAGATGGCTTGATGTCCGGGGAGCTCCACTCAACTGGTAGTTCCGGGATTCTAATTCTGTTCTAAAAGGCTCTAAAACACTGTGGACTTTGTGCAAATATTGTTGACTCTCAGACAGGTTACAACACAGAACACGATGACCTCACTATCACCCAGAGAAGGGAGGAGAAGTCCACATTAAAGAGTACCGGATACTAAATCCTGTTGTAGGAGTAGCCAACAAATTAATGTTTTTTTTTTTCAAAGTCAGATAGGGTAGTCAGCCTGGCTCACATAGATCCAACTACTCAAGAAGGTCCAATCCAAAAGATGAGATGCTCTGGGAGGACAAGGCAGGCTGATCAAGTTCAAGACCAGCCTGGACAACATGATGAAACCCCAGCTCTACAAAAAATACAAAAATTAGCCAGGCGTGGTGGCACGCACCTGTAGTCCTAGCTACTCGGGAGACTCAGGTGGAAGGATTCTTTGAACCTGGGATGTGAAGGTTGCAGAGAGCTGTGATCATACCACTGCACTCCAGCTTGGGCAACAGAGCAAGACTTTGTCTCAAAAAAGAAAAAGAAGAAAAAGAGATGGCATGGGCCAAGATGGGTATACATGACAAGACTGGCTCCTGCTGATTCTCAGAGAGGGGTAACAGGTTACTGGTCATATGGGAAGGATGACATGCACCATGAGGAAAACATCAGGGTCTTAGTCCCACAGATTAGAATTCAGGATTGGGTTTCTGGCACTACAGGACACTGGAGTGCCAAAGACAGAGTGGCACAAAGCCACATGGGGGCGGCACAAAGCCAACCCCATGATCTGGGCTACCTCAACACAGGTATGCACGGGTTGATCAAGATAAAGACTGCCAGGACAGTATCTGTTATAATGACATTCTGCTTCCTAGAGAAACTGTTAAATAAAACTCCTAATTTCCTCCTCATCCTAGCCAGAACTGGTATCAAGACCAGGAGTAAAGAATGTTTGTTACAACTCACTTCAGAGCCAGTGAAAGACAATGACTGTAAAAACATAAGGAATGATTACATTTATCTCCTGAATTTTTTATCTTACATTTTTAAAAATGTTTCTATGCTTTCCTTGGAATCAAGACAATTACCAATGTAATTGTCAAATCTAAATACTATTCAATATATAAGCATTCCAGCATGGGGGATAAGTGGAGTCAGTATTATGAATTTCACATTGACAGTACATAAGACATTAGAAATTTGATTGTTAAGAGAAAATACTCAGTTGTTTGAAATTATCTCATAGTTAGAAACTGAAATATTGAGATGAGTTTGTTCGAAGTATAAAATCATTTGTCAATGTACTGTCAATGTACAAAATATGTTACATTACATGATCTTTATTTTCTGACTGCATTTAAATTGTATCCACCATCACCTTCACTAGCCTGTGAAGGTGGAGAATGCGTATTATTCTTCTTTACAACTCTTCCTGTTACCTGACTCACAGTAGGTGCTATTTCAATGAATGTTTTCAAAAGGGATATTTTCAAACCAAGGTTATGATGTTGCTGGAAGGCTTTATGATCTTGACTTTGACGATAGGTTAAGTGTACTAAAAATTATGTCTATTCTACCCACACAGTTGATCAATAAAGCAATAACATTATTAACAGCAAGTATAAAGCCCCCTGGAACTTCCTGAATTCAGCTTTAATTTTGTCTATAGGGAAAAAAGTTGCAAGGAAGTCATGGTGAGGTAGCTCTGAAATACAATTACCAAACTGCAGGAAGGCTGAGTTTAACAACTCAAGTTCCATTGAGTTGTATTATTATTATTGGCATCCAAATTTAAGTAGTTTATTTTTAAATATTGTGTTGTAATACACTGTTCCTAGTAAAGGAAATTCTCTGACATTGAAATAAAATTTGAAAACCAAGGAGTAAAAGAGGGAAAGAGATAGTAGTAAGCATCAGTTTATCAATTTTATAGCTAAAAATTGATGTGAAGTAGAAACAGTGAAAGATAACAGACAAACATATTGTTTCAGGTAATTCATTTATGGTACCTCATTATAAATGGAATGAGGATTTGGTTATATAAAAACTATCTTTAAAAAAGTATCAGTGGAAAGACATGACATCCATGCACTGTGTTGAATGGCCAGGGTGAAAATGCTGCAGCACACAACAGTCCAGGATTGACAACAGCAGCCACTGTGATTGTCAACTTGTCTTTTGTAGGTGGACCACAGGAACTTCCATAAACAGTTATATTGTCTAACCATTTCCTTTGTATTACCATAACATCCAACGTGTACCCATGGTTTTAACAGCAGACTGTTTAGAACCAAAACACAAGGAAATTCTTGGAAATTGATTGAAAATCATACATTGGAATTAAGCAATAGTTGCTCCTTTAACCAAGCATGAGCTCTCTGGCATCTCAAATTCACAATTACTTCTTAACATGGAGGCCTGATATTATTTGCCATTGATCACTAAACTTGAGTTGCTAAACTCAGCCTGCCCAATCTCCATGTCCTTGACCAAAGAAAGATTCTGCCTTATCTCGCAAATGTTTTCTCGTATCTCTTGATATCTCTCGCAAAACTCTGGGAAGAACAGGTGGAGCTCTGATGAAGGCAGGAGATACTCACAAGGCCGTCCAGACCAACTGTCCTAACTCACGCTATCAATGGGGAACTATTACACTTAAGATGATCCTTTTCTTTTCACTTTTCATATGCAAATATTCATAAGCTCAATGTTACTTTTAAATGTCTAGAGTGATTTCCACTAAGTGTGTATTTTTTAAATGCCAAATACATCAAGAACCAGTTATGGCATTGTTTTATCTTGCAACATCTTTTAAAGGCAAGAATTAAAGAAATTGGTATCATCATTATTTATCAGAACTTCACAGGCTACACATCTAGTTGTCCAACAAAACTTGAAGATGAGGTCTTTGTAAAGAGTGATAACATGCTACTGAGAATCTACTACTTCACTGAAGGTCCTTAGTCATCCAGTAGGTTCATTTTTCTAAATGCCTACTTTTCTCCTTCAGTGGCTTTGATTATAATTCTGAGAATAGATGCGACTCTTTTGTAATATAGCAGACAAAATGCAAAGCAGACCATATTAATCTGTCAGTAAGCTTTAAATATTCTTTCTCTTGTCTTGTGCAAAACAATCTTAATCTACCATGTATTTTCATCCCTCTGGCTTCCTTCCGGTTATTGATCTTTGTGTTATTTCTGCAAGCACATGGAAAGATTTTATTATGTGTATGAATTAAGCCTATGATACATACAGTCTGCTTTATTCAGCTGAACGTATCTTTAATACTCTTCAAAGTGAATCTGTAAAATGAAAAAAAAAAGTCTCCATTAAGAGCTGTTGCCCATTATAACTTCTAAAGTTACTTCATAGCCTTACACAGTTTTACAACATGCACTAAATATAAATGAAGAGCAAATAAAGATAAATATTACACATCGGGGGGCTCATAAAACCACTGTGTAATTGTCCTGTCCTCTAGCCAAGCCCCAAAAAGTAGCACATAAAGTCCTATTTTTAATGTTTTACACTTTTTGTCAAAACCTTGGGACTGCTCCCAAGAGGAGGCCATATGCTCAAACCAGTAGTAGGCAATTTCTCTCTTTCTCTCCACTGAAACAACAGAAGAAAACAAACAAACAAAAAAACTAGAAGGGGAAAACATCTGAGTTCTGGCTTTTTAGTATCAACCTTTCTAATTACGAAGACAAAACTTTTTAATATTAAAAGCAAATTATTTATTCCTCAGGGATTTATTTTTCTATAATATATAATACTGAATGTTCACAATACATTATTTTAAATAGAGATGGGTCTCTTAGCCCCAGGATATAAATACATACCATGCTATTCTAACAACCAAGAAACAGTTTATTCTCTTAATTACTTACAATTGCTTTATTCTCTAATAACATATATGATGTGTTAAGGAAATAAACAACAACTTAAAAGTAGAAAAAAATATGGAAGAGTCTCTATGGAGTTTACGAAATCCCACTGGATGAAGAATGGAAATTCTGAGCATTTGGAGCAGGGTGGGGCAGCTGTCTAACACTAATTTTGGGTGGCAACTTTAACAATAAAAGATATAAATCTTTTATTCTCTCATCGATTACAATTGTTAACAATACCATCATTATAATATTAGTTATTATATTACTAAAAATTAATATTTAATTGATCAATCTACAGAATGTATAATTTATGTACTCATCCAAAGAATTATTCATTCTGATATCAGACAATGTAATAATAGCTTTGTATTCAGAAAGCATATTTTAACAGAAAAAAAGTCAAATGACAATTTTAATAGACTTTAAAACGGTGTACAAGTAAAAAAAAACACTAGTTTTGTACTTCAAAAGTTGGAGGAAGACATCCAGTCATTAAACAGTCTACAAAACATATGCTAGCAGATTACATAAAAAAACTATGCACAATATAAAAAGAGCTGAAAACAGTCTTCACTGTAAAAATAATGTAAAATAAACTTTTCAATTTAAAATATCATCTATAGCACAAACACATCATGCAAATGGAAAACTAAATATACTGCATTCTTTAGTGTAGCCAAATAAATTCAGATTGAGACATCTTTTAGGTAGGGAAATTCAATATGACTTTTTTCAATATGACTTTTTCCATTCAATATGACTTTTTTTCTCTGGCAGTACTGGTCCTAGCTGGGTGTTTTATGCATAAAGAACAACTATATTTCAAGCCCTTTTTATTGTAATCAATACTAAAGCAGCATTAGAATACTTTATTAATTTAGGAGTAATGTTCAAAAATGATCTGAAAAATAAAAGCTTGCTGTGCAATTTCATAAAGTATGAACTTCTTGAAAGGTTAGAAGCTTTTGCAGCTAAGAAAGTTGATCTCTAGTTTTAAGCATTTTGGTGACTAAAACGAAATGGGAAAACTAAAGAACCAGAGTCAAAATCCATGATGTATAAAAAGGTGAGCACAATGAAGCAAGATTTAAAGCTCTCTGGGAATAGACCAATGCACAGAAAAATTAAATTCTACCCATGAAATAGTCACTATTTATGTCCCTGATTCACTAAAGCAGAAAGGAATTTTCAATAATATAAAGGACAAAAAAAAACTGTTTCATGGGCAAAAGGATCAAACAGGCATTTGATTAAAGAGGATATTAAAATAGCCCAAGCATATAGGAAGATGCTCAATGTAATTATTCAATAAGGAAGTGCAGCAAATTAAAACACAAAATAAGATACCACTAAACACCCACCAGTGGCTAAAATTTAAATGGCAAACAATTGTAAGTGTCAGCAAGAATGTGGAGCAACTGGAACTCTCATGCAATGCTGATGGAAGTGTGAATTGATACAATAATTTTGGAACAGTTCTTAATAGTACCTATAAAAACTAAATATATGCCTACCCAATGGCCAAATAATTTCACTCTTACATATATACCCAAGAAAAATAAACCCATATGTCCCTAAGATATAAGACCAAAATATTCTTAGCAATTTTTTTTACAATTGCTTAAAACTAGAAACAACCCAACTGTATGTTAAGAGTAGAATAAACATTTTGTGGAATATTCACCTCCCTAATTTTTAAAAAAAAAGACCTATTGATTAATATAATTAACATGGATGATTTTTACAGACATAATAATGAGCATATACAGACAAATAACACATTACAGACAAATAATGACACAAAGAAATATAAACTGTATGATCTCATTTCTATTAATAATAGAATGAGTTTTTGTTTTGTTTTGTTTTGTTTTTGAGACCGGTGACCCTGCCACAAATCTTCTGTCACCTAAGCCGGAGTGCCGTGGTGTGATCACAGCTTACTGTAACCTCTACCTCCTGGGCTCAAGCAATCCACCCACCTCAGTCTCCCAAGTAGCTGGGACTGCAGGCATGCATCATTACACCTGGCTAATTTTTGTATTAAAATCAAAGTATTTTTTGGGGAGGAGATTGTGGGCAGGTAGGATTTGACAGGATATGGACTCTAGGTAACTTTCTTTTATGCTGGAAATGTTCTATGAGTGGTGGTTACAGTTACACAATTGTATGCGTGTGTAGAAATTTGAACATATAAATACATAAATATATATGTAAAAATTATCACCTGAGATTTTGGTACTTTATAGGATAGATGTTATATCTCAATAAAAAATTAACAATTAAAAATGTTCTATCTTGATAGTAGACACAGGTGTAAGACTTATCTCCTTTTAGAGGAGAGCACTGGAGATGAACATGCCGGATAGCTTGTTTTCTTCCTCACTACTCAGCATGAAGAGTCAACAAATCATTTGTTTTCTTTGGCACACTGGTCCTCTGCCTATTTGATATATAAATTAGTTTCTGAGGGCTGGTATAACAAATTACCAAAAGCTTAGTGCCTGAAATTTATTTAGTGCAGAAATTTATTCTGTCACAATTTTAGAGACTAGAAGTCCAAAACCAAGGTGCTACTAGGGCATTATGCCCAGGGCTGCACTCCATCTAGAAAAGAGCCCTTCCTTGCCTCTTCAAGTTTCAGGTGGTTCCAAGAGGTCTTTGGTTCGTGGCTGCATGACTGCAAGCTCTGCCTCTGTCATCACATAGCTTTCTCTTCCGGGTCTCTGAGCCTCCTCTTCTGCTATAAGGAACTCGTCATTGGACTGAGGAGCCACCCAGAAAATCCAGAATGTTCTCACTTCGAGGCTCAATTATTTCTGTAATGACGCTTTTTTCAAATAAGTTCACATTCATAGATTCTTGGTGTTATGATATGGACATATCTTTTTGGGGGGACCACCATTGAACCCACCAAAATATTTGTAAATTAAAATGAATGCGACTCTTCATTTATTTATTATAATACATTTAAGATAATATAATATGTAATCTCTAGCTAGTTAAGAACAATAACAATATACATGTACTTTGTGTCTTACAGATGTAAAAGACATTTTTCCTTTTAAAAATTCTGATTTGACCTTGATAATTAGATAATTTTTCAAAAGATTTGCCACAGTAACCATGCTATATTTATTCATCACCCATTCATTTATTTAACCAAAGGATAGGATAGAGTGTTGAAAGTTTTAGTCTTAATTCATGACTGAGAACTGATTTGGGTCAATTTTAAAGAGTGTATGACATTCAACTTTTGACTCACTCAGTAAAGAGCTGAAAATTGCTTCAACAGAAACACTTAATGGAATATGATAGCACAGTATAGAGCACAAAATTGTTCAACCAAAACTTCCTAAGAAAGAAGTTGAACCCTACACAGGATTATTTGAATAAAAATATAAAATTGTCCTTAACTAAAGTTAACAAGCTGTTTTCTATTTTCTCCTTTTATGGTTGCTAGCTTTTGCCCACTTCAAGTCATAATGATATATTATCAGTTCATGTAAATTCAATACATTTATTTTTCAAATATCAAACATTATATTTACAATTTTAGAAATTTATAATTTTTAGAAACACTATAGTTTTTAAGTATTGTTTTTCTCCCAAAGTTATATATGATATATATGTACTTTATATGTATATTATATGTGTTTCTTTTTTAAATTTTGGGAGGTATATAGTAGATGTGAATATTTATGAGGTACATGAGATATTTTGATGCAGGCACACAACGCATAATAATCACACCAGGGAAAATGGGGTATCCATCTCCTCAACCACTTACCCTTTCTTTGTGTTGCAAAGAATCAAATTATTCTTATACTCTTACATATTTTTAAAAGTACAATAAATTATTATTGGCTATATTCAAACAACCCTATTTAAAAATAGGCAAAAGACACGAACAGACACTTCTCAAAAGAAGTCATACACTCAGTCAACAAGCATGTGAAAAAATGCTTGGCATCACTAATCATTAGACAAGTGCAATTCAAAACAACAATGAGATACTATCTCACACCACTCAGAATGCTATTACTAAAACATCAAAAACTAACAGATGCTGGCAAGGTTGAAAAGAAAAGGGAATGCTTATACACTGGGGGTTGGAATGTAAATTAGTTTAGCCACTGTGAAAAGCATTTTGGAGATTTCTCAAATAACTTAAAACAGAACTACTATTCAACTCAGCAGTCCCATTACTGGGTATACACCCAAAGAAATATCAATTTTTCTATCATAAGGATAAATGCACAGGTATGTTCATGGTAGCACTATTTGCAATAGCAAATACATGGAATCAACCTAAATGCCCATCAACCGTGGATTGGATAAAGAAAATGTGGTACATACACCTTAAGGAATACCACCTAGCCATCAAAAGGAATGAAATCATGTCTTTT